AGCATTCCAGCCTCACTGAAAAATATTGATTTAAAGTATTATCCTTATTGTGCATAGCTCCAGATATAAAAATTAAAAAGACTTTGCCTACTTTAGGTTAAACTTTTTAATAATTTATGTTTCATTAATTCACACTGCTTTTCTCATCAACTTTGCGTAAAAAATAATGTTTTATACCTTTCTGTAAAGTTGAATTATACCAATTCTCTAAATATTGTCAGAATTCTGTTTAAATTCAAAAAATAAAATGTACTGGCCTCAGTGGCTCACACCTGTAATCCTGACACTTTGAGAGGTTGAGGCAGTCAGATCATTTAAGGTCAGGTATTCGAGACCAGCCTGGGCAACATGGTGAAACACTGTCTCTACTAAAAATACAACAGAATTATCTGGGCGTGGTGGCACATGCCTGTAATCCCAGCTACTTGGGAGGCTGAGACAGGATAATCATTTGAACCTGGGAGGCAGAGGTTGCAGTGAACTGGGAACAGACCACTGCACTCCAGCCTGGGTGACAGAGTAAGACTTCATCTCAAAAAAATAATTAATTTTAAAAATAAATAAATAAAAATAAAATGGATGGTGCCAAAGTGATTATATGGTATGAAGGACAATATATACTCTTTAAAAGAGACTTGGCCAGGCATAGTGGCTTACACCTGTAATCCCAACACTTTCAGAGGCCAAGGTGGGAGGTCTGTTTGAACCCAGGAATTAAAGACCAGCCTGGGCAACATAGTGAGACCCACATCTCTATACAAATAAAAAAAAAAAATTAGCTGGGTGTGGCAGCATGTGCCTGTAGTACAGCTACTTAGGGGGTTGAGGTGGAAGGATCACTTAAGCCCAGGAGGCCAAAGCTTTAGTGAGCCATGATCATGCCATTGCACTCCCATCTGGACAACAGAGCAAGACCCTGTCTCAACTGAAAAAAATCAGCCAGGCATGGTGGTCCATACCTGTGGTCCCAGTTACTCCAGAGGCTGAAGTGAGAGGATTACCTGAGCTGGGGAAATTGAGTCTGCAGTGATCATGCCAACCTGAGTCTGCAGTGATCATGCGAAAGAGTAACCTTTACAGAGTAAAGGCGCCTCTATATATAGGTATAGATAAGACTCTTTTATTTATTTATTTATTTATTTTTGAGATTGAGTCTCGGTCTTGTTAGCCATGCTGGAGTGCAATGGTGTAATCTTGGCTCACTGCAAGCTCCACCTCCCAGGTTCAAGCGATTATCCTGTACCAACCTCCCAAGTAGCTGGGATTACAAGTGTGCACTACCACGCCCAGCTAATTTTTTGTATTTTTAGTAGAGACAGGGTTTCACTATGTTGGCCAGGCTGGTCTCCAACTCCTGACCTCAGGTGATCTACCTGCCTTGGCCTCTCAAAGTAAAAAAGACTCCTTTTAAGAATAAGTTTCAGAATCGAGAAGGGGCAAGGGGAGGCATTAGAAAGCAGGAGTATGAGGAAACTTTATTGGGTGATGAATATGTTCATTCTTGATTACAGTAAAGGTTTACAGGTCTATAGATATGTCAAAACTTAACAAATTATACACTTTAAACATATGCGGGTTATTGTATGCCACTTATACCTCAATATTACTATTCAAAAAAAAATAAATTTCTGAGGCCTGAAACCCAAAACAATAGTATAACAATACTGTCTCCAAACAGTCCCAGGAAAAGACTGAGATACTACATAATGCAATGAAAGGTTTGAGGATATAAGCAAGTGACTGACTCACAATTCCCTTCAGAAAAATGGCACAGGATTGCAGAAATTAGGTGGCAAAAATGCCAAATTGAGAACACAGGAAATCTGCTTTGCCTAGAGACCCTCTTTCACTAATTCAGTTCATGTGCTCAGCATGTGCTGAGGCAGGGCTGGAAGAGAAACCACAGTCATACCAGGCAGACAACCAATCTCAGAAGTCATAAACTGACCACCCCATCAGGCATCATTGACATGTTTGGTTTGGTCCTCACTGTTGGAAAAATAATCTTTTTGAATTAGTTGCCAGCATCTAGAAATTAAGAGATAAGAGATCTCTTCACCCAAATTCTGAATGTTTTATTTTTCTCAAAATATCAAAAGATCTGGTAACACTTGGGCTCATGTTTCCAAACTAGCAATATACCAGGCACTCTGTTCAGCCACGGACCACTGGACTCAGTCTTCCTATCATTCTGTCTCTAGCAGCTTCACCCATTTATTGCAATGTTTTGATACTATCTCGGGGCTCATCCTCCACATGAAAGTGAACTGCCCTTAATTAGAGGTGTAACTCTCACTACAAAGGGTAAGGAACTATCCTACCTAAGCAACCAGAGGCAGCCAACAGAAGGCTAGACTCAAGCATACCTTTTTAGAGAAAGATCAATAATGAAAACAAATCCTGAAAACTGGTTCTTGGGGCAGTCGTTTAAAACTTCAATGGAGAAGCTTCTGACAGAGAGAATTTCCCCACTGAAGATCCTTCTCAGCTCCAGCCCCTTCACCCTTCAAACACAAATGCATATACAGTCCCAGCTCCCTCCCTAGCCTTCCCCTCCCTCATTCTGACATGTTATGGAATGTTAAGAGGAATTTTTGTCATCCCAACTCCAGCTTAAGAAAACTTTCTTTAAAAAAAAAAAAAACTTGTTTAAAGGCAAAGTCCCCAAGGAATAATCACCACAAATTATTGTAACTCAAAAGGGGTCAGAAACCTATACTCAATCAAAGAATAAACCACCAATATTTTATTTAATCATTATGTAACAAAAGCATTAATATTAAATCAGGTTCAAGGTAAGATTTGTTATCACTATTACTTAACATTTTTCTAGTCAATGCATAAAATAACAGAACTATCACAAAGCAGTCAATTTAAAAAACAAAAAAAATAAACCTCTTAGTATGCATGCAGATGACCTCATTCGTACAAGACCCAAGAGAAACTACTGAAAAGCCGTGAAAATCAATACATGAATTCAATGAGGGGACTGAATGGTTACAAAATTAATATACAAAATTACAGGTGTTCATGTCAGCAATAATCATAGAAGAAATAAGATGAATAAAAATTGAAACATAATAGCAAACAAAAAAATAAAATATACTCAGGAACAAAACCAATGAAAGGTGCTAGTACAGTCATATTATCCTGGAGAGGGAGACTTCCTGAGGGCTGATCAACTGTATAATCACTACCTAGAGAGTGGGGCTGGAGTCTACCACAAAAGATTGATCCTCTCCTCTAAACTATCCATAAGCCACCCTGTCAAAGTTCAGCCTGCACATGGCCCAAGATGAAATCATGGCTTGTTTCCCCAGTTTGGACCTGATCAAAACCTATGCCTTCCGGGCCCAGTTCTGAATTATAGTACTCAAATCCAAACTGTTCATTCCTCAGAGTGCATACAGGAAACAGAACCAGCCAGCAGAGAATCAGTGTTTATCGCTTTTTGGGAATCAAGTAAAATGTTAAGTAGAGAAACTTACCTATTCTCTAAAAAAGGGATTTCAAGGAACTCTTTAAAAAGCTTTTGACAGAGCCCAGGCATGGTGGCTCATGCCTATAATCACAGCTCTTTGGGAGGCTGAGACAGACAGATCACTTGAGGTCAGGAGTTCAAGACCAGCTGGGCAACATGGCCAAACCTTGTCTCTACTAAAAACACAAAAATTAGCCAGGTGTGGTGGTGGACACCTAAAATCCTGGCTATTACTTGGGAGGCTGAGGCATGAGAATTGCTTGAACCAGAAGGCAGAGACTGCAGTGAGTCAAGATTGTGCCACTGCACTCCAGCCTGGGTGACACAGAGAGAGACTGGCTCAAAAAAACAAACAAACAAAAAAAAAAAACATTTTTGACAGAGAACTTTACTAATTTTAAGTATGGAAATAAATAAGTACACAGGCCTTTTACATTATTATCGCTGAACAGACCAAAAGAAAAAAATATATATTTTAGATCAGGCATGGTGGTTCATGCCTGTCATCCTAGTACTTAGGAAGGCCGAGACAGGCAGATCACTTGAGGTCAGGAGTTCGAGACCAGCCAGCCCAACATAGTGAAACCCCATCTCTACTCAAAATACAAAAATGAGCTGGTACAGTGGCATGTGCCTATAGTCTCAGCTATTCAGGAGGCTGAGGCACAAGAATCACTTGAACCCAGGAGGTAGCAGTTGTAATGAGCCGAGATCACACCACTGCACTCCAGAAGAGAGCAAGACTTCATCTCAAAGAAAAACAAAAAAAATTTGGGAGCCAGGCACAGTGGCTCACACCTGTAATTCCAGGACTAGGAGGTTGAGGCGGGCAGCTCATTTGAGGCCACGAGTTTGAGACCAGCATGGCCAACGTGGCAAAACCCCGTCTCTAGTAAAAATACAAAAAATTTAGCTGGGTGTGGTGGTGCACACCTGTAGTCCCAGCGACTGGGGAGGCTGAGGCACAAGAATCGCTTGAACCTGGGAGGCCAAGGTTGCAGTGAGTCAAGATCACACCACTGCACCCCAGTCTGGGGAAGAGAGTGAAACTCTGTCTCAAAAAAAAATTTTTTTTTGAAATATGTTTATATTAATAGAAAATTCCCAATTAATACAGTACTCAATATTTCAGAATTTGTGATTGTTTATGGTTTGGTTTCAAGACTATCTTTTTACTCTCTAGACGAAAGTAGTTTCCCAAGAAAATTAACAGTGTAAACAAATGATTTGAAGCACCACAGAAACATCTGTTTACATTCAGATAATTAATATGCTAATTTTTATCTGTGAAATTAAAGTAGGTTACCTAAGAACTTTTCAAAATAATATTTAATTAACCTAATAATAATGAGTATATATAGTTGAAGTAATAAATTGGACATCTGTTTTAAGACATCCTTCAATTTCAGCCTTTTACTAAATCAAACCAATTTTCACACTTCACTTTAAATTATGGAGGTTTTACATATCAACAAAACAAAACTCTATTGAGACAGAAAACAAACATATTCAGTCGTACCTTTGATGGTCTCCATTCCCAACTATCACCTATCTCTTGTGAATGTTTAATGAATTCTGCACAACAACGTTGAAATGTTTTTTCTCCAATGAACTCATCTTCTTCCATATTAAATAACTGCAATATAAAAACTAAGTATTAGCATCAACTTTAGAATGATATCGAAAGGAATTCTGCTAATTGATTTATTTCTGTCAATAAACCAAAATTTGGGATGTAGAATGGAAAATAACCTCAAGACCACTAAAAAATGGTTTTGGCCAGGCATGGTGGCTCACACCTGTAATCCCAGCAATTTGGGAGGCCAAAGCAGGAGGACAGCTTGAAGCCAGAAAGTTCAAGACCAGCCTGGTAAACATAGCAAGACTTGATTTATATAAAAACTAAAAAAGTAAGTTAGCCAAGCATTGGGGTGCACACCTGTAGTCTCATCTATTCAGAAGGCTGAGGCAGGAGGATCGCTTGATACCAGGAATTCAAGACTGCAGTTAGCTATGATCATGCCACTCTACTCCAGCCTGGACGATATAGTGAGATCCCATCTCAAAAAAAAAAAAAGGATTTTTGTTTTTTATCTTTCTCACCTTATCCCCATTTTTGCTGTTGTTTTTATTTTTGTTGTTGTTTTTGAGACAAAATTTCGCTCTGTCACCCAGGCTGGAGTGCAATGGCATGATCCCGACTCACTGCAACCTCCACCTCCCAGGTTCAAGCAATTCTCCCACCTCAGCCTCTCAAGTAGTTGGGATTACATTTGCTCACCACCACATCTGGCTAATTTTTGTATTCTTATTAGAGACAGGGTTTCACCATGTTGGCCAGGGTGGTCTTAAACTCCTGACCTCAAGCAATCTGCCTGCCTTGGCTTCCCAGAGTGCTGGGATTCCAGGTGTGAGCCACTGCACCCAGCTTGTTTGTGTTTTTATATTCCTGTTTCTATATCTTTGGTGCTTAGCATAGTAAACATTCCAGATGCCTTTTTTCAACTGAATTAAAATCATATAAACCGCAAGGATTTTAAACCCATCTGGCTCCAAGGCCAATGACCTGTCTATACTAGCTAATTCTGATTATTCAAATTTAGTATAATCTATGCAAGAATTTGCTCATTCATCCAACAAATACATACTGAATATCTACTAAGTAGCAGGCACTGTGAATAAGTAAAGGTTGGGTATACAACAATGAAAAAATTAATAGTCCTTGCCTTGTAAGAGCTCATATTCTAACAAAGGGAGATAAAAAATGCAAGTATTATAGCAGAAACTCTCTTACCCAACCTCCATTTAACCAACTTGCCAAATTAATCAACACTGACTCAGGTCTACAGCACACTGCTCATGAAGCACCTCTGCTCCCATCAGTTAACTGTGTGTTCACAAACCATGTTCTCATTTCATAAATATATACTATAATTAAATGTTAAACAAACCAAAAACATAAAAGTAAAAAAGAAGAACGACTGTTATTTCTATAACCAAGTACCTTGAAAAGACTCAATAAAAGTGAGTCTAAGAAAAATAAACTGCTATTGAACTAGATAGGGACAATACAACTGAAAAGAATGGTGGGAGATAGGGAAGAGAAAAGATTTCAAGCTTTTTGCCTTTAGGTGGTGGTGAATTGAGTTAAGACAGGGGTCTCTGGAGGAATAGCAGTTTTGGGAAGAGAGATGGGTTTAATTTGGCCATACTGAGTTTGAATTTAAAATGTCCATGGAATGCCGAAGTAAAGGGGTCTAGCAGGCATTTTCGAGGTGTGTCTTCAACTCAGAAGCAAAGAGAAATCTGAGCTGGAAATACCGATTCTACATCAACATTACATAGACAGTAACAGAACCCATTTCATCAATCAGCAAGAGAATGCAAAACTAGAACAGGAAGAGAAGACTGATATGGTGCGGCCAGAGGAAATTTTTCCAACTGTATGATGACCCTGACATATACTGAAACATACTAAATCAAAGAAAAATTAACTTTCATTCATAAAGAATACTAACATACTTAATTTTTTAAAATTCCAACAAATTCTTAATAACAAAACTGAACAAAGTAAGCCTAAGCCCTCCAGTTACTTGAGGTTTACTGAAGTATTGAAAATACTTAAACATAAAATTTAACTCAATAGCCACAGTTTATCTAATTAACAGCACTGTGCTACAAGCAAGATGACTGAACATCAAAACACTAATTAATATTTGGTTGAATAGTTTTAAAATTATCTAAGGACTAGGATTGCTGAAGGATGCTAAATACAATAATACAAACACTTACGGCTTGATTACAAAATTAAGAAGTATACTATGCTAAAAAGATATCCATCTCAACTCGATTCATCATAATGTATCATAATGAAATATCATGGAATAATTATTGTTTCTTTGCTCAAGCAAGAATATTTCAACTCAAAAATGTAAATATAATTCAATCAACATTTTTATATGTACTTTTCAAGTTGTAATACTTTCTAGTCCTCTACCAAGTTCATAAACTACTAGAGGCAGAAATTAGAATCTGGGAACTTCCTATTATGAGATGGCTGAAAATATGGCTAAAAATGGAAATAACCACAAATGTGGTTTATTAAGCAATAATGGCAAGAATAATCCTAATTTTGCAAACGAAAAACCTTAAGATATGTGAACTGCCTATGTTTCCAGACTTATCTTAAACTAAATTTAAACTAGAGGTGACAACAGTCACTCAAATGAACTCTCAGTAAAAAGATGAATTTCAATTCTTATCTCATCCTAATGACCCTCTCATGTCTTGTTGTTAGTACAAGTTAGAAATGAGTCAGCACTCCTCATGTCATAAAGTATAAGTTGTTAATACATCTATTTTGCTTTAGTCTTACTTTGGCTAAAGAGCTATTTGGGGTTTTTGTTGTTTTTTTTTTTTGTAACATTCAATCAAAACCTTTTTCTAACTGCTTTAGCAGAGACTAAAGATTGGAAAGACAGAATAATTTTCCTAACCAAGTGAGGGTAGTCTTTCCAGACTATAAGTTCGTCCTTAGACTAGAAGCATAGAAGCTTATTTTGCTGCTGTTCACGTATATCTTTCCAGAAAAGCAGCCTCAGTAAATTCTAACACTGTATATAATCATTGTTTAAATGATCCTCTTTAATTGAAAACAATTTTTTCACTACTACTCTCCATATTTTTTAATGTGATTTTTAATCCAATGTGTGTGAAACTAATTCTTTGTTATTTTTTTTGTTGGAGACATTGCTTTTGATGAATCTATAAATCAATGTATATCAGAGTTATAATGGGACTAAAACAATATAAGAAATATAACTAAATTTCCCAGAACTTAAGATCATTTACAAAAATGTGATTACCACAGAACATACTATGCATACATTTAAACATTAAAAATCATTTTTGACTAATAAAGTAGGCAACTTCCTGAATACTTGTCCCTCCGAGCAACATTCCACATTATTTATAACTCTAAGTTGAGACTCTTTTTAAAAAAAAAAAAAAGCAATATTAGCTAGTGTAAGGCCGGTTGCCTCGTTGGGAGGCCAGACACACCCACCTCGGCACTTGGCACCAGGCTCTGCACTCAGCACCTAGCTCTGCTGCATGGCTCCCTTGGAAGGCTCTGGCTAATGCAACCCTGGCTGGCTCTCGCACCAGAAAACCCGCCCAACAACCTGCCAACCAATAGAGGCCCGCCCTGTCTCAATCCCGCTCCCCTGGACCCAAGCAGAGCACCCAGCTGTTGCTCATTCCTCCTAGCCACAAACCCCACCCTCCCCCCTCCCCCCCACCGCAGGAAGCCAGCTTGACTTCTCTGGCCCCCTTTCCCTGACCAGAGAACCTCGCCCAGGAGCTGAATAAATTGGCATTTAATTTTCTTATACCGGCCTCAGTTTCCTCATTTTAAACTCGGCAATGACCCTTACAGCTAGGAGAGTTAAATGTCAACCCACAGCCGGGTGCGGTGGCTCCAGCCTGTAATCTCAGCACTTTGGGAGGCCGAGGCAGGTGGATCACAAGGTCAAGAGATCGAGACCATCCTGGTCAACTTGATGAAACCCCGTCTCTACTAAAAATACAAAAAATTAGCTGGACATGGCGGCGCGTGCCTGTAATCCCAGCTACTCAGGAGGCTGAGACAGGAGAATTGCCTGAACCCAGGAGGCGGAGGTTGCGGTGAGCCGAGATCGCGCCATTGCACTCCAGCCTGGGTAACAAGAGCGAAACTCCGTCTCAAAAAAAAAAAAAAAAAAAAGTCAACCCACTACTTTTATGGCAATTTGGCTTGAATTCATTTAGATTAACTTAATCACTTACCTAGCAAGGTCCTTAAGCAGTGGTCCTCAAGTTTTAGAGAGCAAGGAAGCACCCACAGTGCAAATTTAAATGATCCTAGGCCTTGGCCAGAAAGATAACCTGATAACCTAAAAGATAACCTAAAAGACTAGCATGATCCCTAAACAAAAGATGAATCGTTTTGACAGGGCTGGTAAAAGACCTGGATTTCAAGACATTTGGCAGCCTGGGTGGGACACATAAGGCCTGGCCCTGGGCAATCCAGTAAGATAGCAGAGATACATCAAAAGTGGATCAGTCCTGATAACAGATGAACAGCAGGGCTCAATTCTCCCTCCTTGCCTTCCCATTGGAACACATATTCCAAATCAATGTTTAAATGAGAAGCAACACTATTAGCAAATAAGGAAATAATGGCGTATGATCTTAGCCAAAAATATCCAACAAATAAGAAAAACAGAAAACAGCAGTGGCTCATGCCTATAATCCCAGAATTTTGGGAGGCCAAGGTGGGTAGATCGCCTGAAGACAGCAGTTCAAGACCAGCCTGACCAACATGGTGAAACCCCGTCTCTATGAAAAATAGAAAAATTAGCTGGGCATGGTGGTGGGTGCCTGTGATCCCAGCTACTTGGGAGGCTGAGGCAGGAGAATCACTTAAACCCGGGTGGCGGAAGTTGCAGTGAGCTGAGATCATGCTATTGCACTCCAGCTTGGGCAACAGAGCGAGACTCCGCTCAAAAAAAAAAAAAAAAGATCAACACAATATCAGAAGCTACAAACAGTGTCAGGCTGAATACAGATGATAGAGCAAATTGTCTTTAAAATATA